GCGTCAAACTGTGGCTGGCCCCTCGGCACGCGGTGGTTCAGAGGCTGCAGGAGTTGTTGTGCACGCGACCTCCCCACTCCAAAAGCTCTGAATAGAATTGCTGTTAGTATTTGGAAATTGGGGATGTGGAAACTGGCGGCTTCAGCTTCGTAGCGGGCTATTTCGAACCGTGCTGAAGTCTGGTCGATACGTTCACCCGCGTGGACTCGAAAGTCAATGAGAGCCGTGCCAGAGTTGAGTTGGCGTTCCTCTTCTAGGTTCTCGAACTTCGTACTTAAGAAGAACATAATGTAGGTGGCGCCGTCAGTGTGGCGACCGCCTATATTGACGCCAAAATTAATGACTGTTGGGGGGGCGCTCGTGGCTATGGTCCGTGCGCGACCTCCCAAACCGCGGTGCAATGCGGCGGCCTGCTGGGAGGGCGTCATGTTGCCTGTGGCCCCATTGATCCGGGCATGTACTTCGCGGACGAACTCGCGAAATTGCACTTCACCGGCAGGGCCCCAATGGCGGCCAGTCGTTCTAGTGTCGTCTCCGCCCCGCATGTCCTCACACCCACAAGCAACCCATATGAGCCCAAAGATAATGACCCCAATCCAGTGGCCTCGTAGGTCGTAGTCGGGTGTAGTCGGTGGGGACTTATGTTTTGTAGTCGTAAATCTGCGCGGGGTCGGAGGCGGCAGTATAGAGTATCCCATGTTTCCATGCATTAAGTATTCGAAAAAAATTCCGATTGGAGTAGGTGGGTGGACTTCAGGAGTGTAAAACGCAGGGATGTAAGATGTGAGTAAGGGACCTCCGCTTGGACAGAGGTATCGCTGCAAGTTGCCTCGCGGTACTGCGTAGTTATGTACGCTCCTCCGCGCAATCCCACTGCACCCTGATGTTCCACCATATCCGTAGTCCACCAGATAGTGCCGTGGATGGTGAGGAGTAGAGCCAGAGCTGACCACCAGAGGCCAGCTCCGCTACCAAGTTTGAAGGTGGCTGGAAGGCCCAGCCAACAGCTTCGCCTCAGGCGAAGCCAAGCTCCAGCTCTGTTGTACCGTAGTAACGATAGTCCCAGTATGAGAGGAGATACCATCTCAAGCAATAGGAAAATCCTTTTGGTCTCGATAGCGATTGTGTGCCTCGCGGTGAGGCACAGTCAAATTTGGGCGGCCAGCCGCTTGAGCCGACGCGGGCGCGGGCGCACGCTCGCTTCCACTCCTTACGACCCTCAGCTCGCTTTAAAGTCCGCCACCGCCGCGTCCGATGTCCTATGGTGCCCCTTAAGCCTCCTGGTCTTCCTCCCCCCGTTGCCTGTCCCTTGCGTTTTTTCTTTGTCTTCGTCGACGGCGGCGCGCCTGCGGTGGCCCTGACGCCAGAAACCCCAAACTACTCCCCCAAGACGTCGTCCCCCAGAAGCTCCAAGAGGCCCCCGAGGAGGCAACAAGCATTGATTGCCGTTCGATTGTTCAATGATGTTGAAATTCTCGCTTCTGGGTTTCCGACCATCCAAGCTGGCCCAAGATGCCTCCAATATATCTCCAAAACAACCCATGAAGCCCCCAAAGAGGGCCCCAAGTCGGCCCAACAGGACCCCAAGATCGCCCAAGAGTCTTGCACAAGGGCCCCAAGACGACCTTAAAGCGCTCCAAGAGGGCATCAAGAGGGCCCAGAGAGGACCCCAAGACGGCCTCCGACGGCGTCACACGCGCCAAGAGCCCCCCTAAGACTGCCCAGGAGGTCCCAAGAGGCTCCCAAAAGGCCCTCAAAAGGCCCAAGGAAGCCCGTAGCAGGTCCCCGGGAAACCCCCAGAGAGCCCCTGAGAGGCCTTCTCCTCCTTGTCTTCATGTTCTCCCGCTTCACGCGGAGATGTTGGCGCTCCGTTGGGGCAGGGTTCACAAGGACCTCTCCTTTTTGATCGATGGTTTCCAAGTTGGTCCCAAGACGGCCCCAAGAGAGCCACAAGATGGCCTCAACGGACCTCGAAATAGTCCACAGAGGGCCCCAAAAGGGCTCCAAGAGGCTAACAGGACGAAGGGTCTGCATCAGCGAAGGCCTTTTCTGGTTGAATCGTCGTCGTCGCCGTCGCCTTTTTCCTCTCGGATACTCGTCTTCCAACTCCTCCTCCTTCTCCTCCTTTTTCCTCCTCCTCCTCCAACTGGTTTCTCCTCCTCCTCCTCCTCCTCGGCTTTCTCTCTCTCCTCCTCCTCCTCCTCGTCCTCCTCCTCCTCCTCCTCCTCCTCCTCCTCCCACCTAAGAGTCAAAATGAATTCAGTGGGGGGCGTTTTCTGTCAAACTCATATTCCGTCTGCTCGTCCTCCTCATCCTCCTGATCATTTCTCCATCCTGGTTCCTCCTGTTCATCCTTCTCATCCTCGTTCCGTATTATCTTCCTCTTCCTCTTCCTCTTCCTCTTCCTTAACACCATTATCATAATGATCACCATCATCATTATCATCAGGGTCACCAACACCATCATCAGCATCATCAGAAACCTCATCATCACCGTCACCGTCTTTATCATAATCCGCATCATCAACATAGCCATCACCATCATCATGAGCATCATCGCAGTCATCATCACCACCGCCGTCGTCATCATGATCAACCTCATGGACAGCAGCATCTTCAGCACCATCGTGGACGACACCATCATCAGCAGCATCAGCAGCATCAGCATCATCACCATGAATCAGCAGCATCATAAGGAGCAACGACGGCATCAGCATCATCATGATCATCGTCCTCATCATCCGAACAATCGCCTTCCCCACCATCATCATCATCATCATCATCATCATCATCATCCTCGTCCTAGTCATCATATTTATCAGCATCGTCATCATCATCATCATCATCATCATCATCATCATCATCATCATCATCATCGTTATCGTCAGCATCATCGCCGTCAAAATCAGCATCATCATCACCATCGCCATCGCCATTGCCATACTCATCATCACACTCACTATCAGCATCATCATTAGCAGCAGTATCATTGGAATCATCATCGCCATCATCGGTATCGTCATCATCATCATCATCATCATCATCATCGTCATCATCATCATCAGTATCCTTATCCTTGTCCCCCTCCTACCCCTCGTTCGACAGGCCCGCGAACAAATATTAGGTGCACTCATGGTTATGCTCAGGCTGATCCACACATTTGTTTTGACGGCTTCTTCTCCTTCTTTCGTGCACTGCATGCTTCTACGCCTCCCTGGTCAAGGCGACTCGCCTGGCCATCGCTGCTGTCTGGGCGAATGGCGTCAATTGACGATTGTTGACCTCTTCGCTCCTCCATGTGGTCATCAACTTGAAGCCTCTCCACAAATCTGGACATAGGTCCTGGATGGGAAGATGGCAATGTCAACGCGACGTGGCGCGAAATGGCAAGACGTGCCAAAGGCAACCGGGACTTTCAACGAGGGGGGGCTCAGACGGCGGAGCGCTTCCTCAAACATGCACACTGTACTTCCAGCGCTCTATTGGCACTGGCAAGCCTGGCACGCCAACTGACGGTGTCGGACCAGATGAACCAGCACGGTTGCAGTATTGTGCGCAGGCCGCGCCCAAACTGCAGAAGCTCACCGACCTCCCAGTCTGCCGCTGATGGCCGAGTCGTCCCAGCGCCACTGGTCCCTGGACGGCACCCAGCTCTTCAACCAGCACTCGTGGCTGCCCTGAATGAAGGTCCACGCCGCGCACCCCGACTGCTCGCCGCAGTGGTTGCAGCACGCCTGCGGGTCCTGGGACCAGGGAGCTTGCATCAAATTGTTGCCGTCGCTGTTCACGTGCTCCTCCCAGCTGCACTTGGTGTCTGGGCTGGGGCTCGGACCTGGACTGCCGGGGCACTCGCACCTGTCCGAACCACATTGCGGGCACGCCACGTCGCCTGGGGGGCACATCTGCTGCAGGTAGGGGTTGCAGTAGATCGTCTCGGAGAGGAGGCCCTGGAGCGAAATGTTGTTTGGCGCATCAACGGCCGCCTGGAGGCTCGGCGCCCCGATTTGGCCGCTGATGGCCGAGTCGTCCCAGCGCCACTGGTCCCTAGACGGCACCCAGCTCTTCACCAGCACTCGTGGCTGCCCTGAATGAAGGTCCACGCCACGCACCCCGACTGCTCGCCGCAGTGGTTGCAGCACGCCTGCGGGTCCTGGGACCAGGGAGCTTGCAGCAAATTGTTGCCGTCGCTGTTCACGTGCTCCTCCCAGCTGCACTTGGTGTCTGGGCTGGGGCTCGGACCTGGGCTGCCGGGGCACTCGCACCTGTCCGAACCGCACTGCGGGCACGCCACGTCACCTGGGGGGCACATCTGCTGCAGGTAGGGGTTGCAGTAGATCGTCTCGGAGAGGAGGCCCTGGAGCGAATGTTGCTTGGCGCATCAACGGCCGCCTGGAGGCTCGGCGCCCCGATTTGGCCGCTGATGGCCGAGTCGTCAGCCGTCCTAGACGGCACCAGCTCTTCAACCAGGTTGGCTGCCTGAATGACGCCACGCCACGCACCCCGCACTGCTCGCCGCAGTGGTTGCAGCACGCCTGCGGGTCGGGCCAGGGAGCTTGCACAAATTGCGCCGTCGTGTTCACGTGCTCCTCCAGCTGCACTGGTGTCTGGGCTGGGGCTCGGCCTGGACTGCCGGGGCACTCGCACCTGTCCGAACCTCCACACTGCGGGCACGCCACGGCGCCTGGGGGGCACATCTGCTCAGTAGGGGTTGCAGTAGATCGTCTCGGAGAGGAGGCCTGGAGCGAACTGTTGTGGGCGCATGAAGGCCGCCTGGCGGCTCGCGCCCCGATTTGCGCCGCTGCGCCGAGTCGTCCCAGCGCCACTGGTCCTGAGACGGCACCCAGCTCTTCAACCAGCACTCGTGGCTGCCCTGAATGAAGGTCCACGCCGCGCACCCCGACTGCTCGCCGCAGTGGTTGCAGCACGCCTGCGGGTCCTGGGACCAGGGAGCTTGCAGCAAATTGTTGCCGTCGCTGTTCACGTGCTCCTCCCAGCTGCACTTGGTGTCTGGGCTGGGGCTCGGACCTGGGCTGCCGGGGCACTCGCACCTGTCCGAACCACACTGCGGGCACGCCACGTCACCTGGGGGGCACATCTGCTGCAGGTAAGGGTTGCAGTAGATCGTATCGGAGAGGAGGCCCCGAAGCTGCCTCTTGGGCGCCGTCCTGTTGAAGCCCAGGCTCAGCGGGATCTGCAGCAGGAGCAATCGGAGGGAGCTGCCGAACGCCATGGCCGATCGCAGGAAGGCCAGAGGAAGCTCGCGGAAGCGACGTGCGGAACAGAGCGGGTAAATCGGGACGAAAACTTGAGCTGGTCGCTGCGGATGAGCCTCCACGTCGTCGACGTCATCCTCTCTTCCCCCCCAGCCAAATGACGCCAGAACGGACCATTCTGGCCAACCCCAGGAAGCCCGCGGCGCGATGTGGCCAACGGGGGTCCAGCGTGCCTTAAGATGGTCAAGTTTGTTGGGATGTCTGGTTCTTGACCTGGTGCACAATGGGGAGGGACCTTATTGCGGGCGCCCCATGATGGCCCAGCTTGTTGGGCTCTGTTGGGTCCCCAAATCATTGAGGGTCCTGTGTTGAGTATCCGCCACCGTGCCTGCACGGAGTGGGCGTTAGAATGCTCGCCTGTTGTCTACGAAGTTGTTTCCCGACCATCATGTGGTGCTGGGTCTTCGTTTTGAAGAGACACCGCCCCCGGTCCCCTCTCCTCCCTCCTCCTCGCCCTCCCTCCTCCGATCCCCTGCCTTTCCCCTCCGCGCGCCACTGTTTCGGCACACCCCTCACACGCTTCGTGGCCCCATAGGGAGCCCCACCGAAGGCACCCGTGGCACAGATCGCATGCGGTTCCCAGCACATTTCAGTACACCCCCACATGTCCCGAGGCCCCACGGGGGGCTACTGAAGGCCCCAGTGGCAAAGCTCGCATGCGGTTCCCCGCCCACTTCGGCACACCCCTCACCGACGACCTCAGTGGCAAAGTTCGCACGCGGTTCCCCGCCCATGTCGGCACACACCCCACACACTTCGCGGCCCCGTAGGGAGCCCCACCGAAAGCCCAGTGGCAAAGTTATCATGAAGTTTCCCGCCCATACCGGCACACCCCTCACACACTTCGTGGCCCCATAGGGAGCTCCAACGTTTGCATCAGTGGCGGGGTTCGCATGCGGTTCCCCGCCCATTTCGGCACACTCCTAGCACGCCTCGTGGCCTCATAGGGAGCTCCACCGAAAGCGGTGCCACAACGCGGCACCCACAAGTGCATAGGGTTGACCTTCGCCCGGATCATTGATAGATGTTGAGGCTCTCGCCTGTCTGGAGATTCGACCGCCCAAGACGGCCCAAGAGGCATCCAAGAGGCTCTCAAGATAGCTCCAATATAGCCCAGGACGCACCCCAACAAGGCCCCGAATCGGCCCCAGAGGGCCCAAAGATCGCGCGGGAGTCTACCGAGAGGGTCGTAAAGGTCCCTAAGAGGGCGCCAAGAGGGCCAGACATGCCCCCAACCAAGACGATATCCGAAGGCGTCAGAGGAAAGGCCAAGAAACCCCTAAGACGGCCCAAGCAAACCTCAAGTGGCCAGTACGGGTGATTCTGGGGTGGCGTTTTTGCGGGGGCGCGGAAAGGAAGGGGAAAGGCGAAGGAGGAGGGAGCGACGAGGAGAGGAGAGGCGAGGGAGGGGACGACGAGGGGAGTACTGAGACAGAGAAGGGGAGGGAGTAAAGGACAGGAGGAGGCGGCGGAGAAGGGACGGAACTCCCTCCCCCCCCTCGTGGACGGCAGTTGTGCACATTCCTCCTGTGGCGCCTCTTTGGGGGGGGAGAAGGGGGAGAAAAAAAAACGCCAAGAAGGGGAGAACAAAAAAACGACAATGTTTTTAACAAAAAATCGGCGCATGAGGCGGGCTCGTTGTTTAGCTTGAAAATATTGCGCCTGCGGCAGGCTTCTGCAAAGCCTCGCATACTGCCGACGTCCCCGCTGCCCCTCACTCTTATCCGCAACTGCGGGGTGCTGCGTATATGCGTCGTGGCGGGCACTTTCTGGCCGCACCGCTCGCGAAACGGTATTCTACAATATGGGCATTATGTATATATATATATATATATATATATATATTCGGGTCGGACGCGCGCCTCCAAGGAGGACATATCGTATCAGTATGTCTCTGTGCGTCCCACCTAATGCGTGCCAAGAGGGCACCAGCACAGCCCAGCGGGGCCCCCAAGGCGGCATCCGACGGCGTCACGCGGGCCAGCAGCCCCCCGAAGACTGCCCCGGAGGCCCCCAAGAGGCCCCCTACGAGGGCCCGCGTGGGCCTCCGCGCGGCCCCTCCACAGGCCCCCAACAGGTCCCCAGGTTGCCCCAACAGAGCCCCTGCGAGGCATTCGCCTCTTTGTCTTCAGTCTCCCCCGCTCCACGCGGGGATGTTTGCGCTCCAGGGGGGCAGCGTTAACTACAGGATTCGGCCTGACCTAAGGAACGATAAATAAGGAACGAGGCCGCTTTTGTTCAAAGTAACTCTACGGAGTCCGAAGAAACACCAGGGGGGGCCGCCGCCAAAAGGTAGCAGAAAGCATGCAACCCAGAGGTACGATCGAGCCCCCTTTCGAAAAGCACGCGTTCCTTAGTCAAACCGGACCCTGCATTTTTGATCGATGTTTGCCAACCCGGTCACAAGAGAGTCATGCCAGGCCGCAAGGAGGGCGCCAAGAGAGCCCAGAGGGGGCCCGAACGGCCCCCGAGATGCGAACCCCGCGCCCCCTCGACGTCTTTTCGGGGGGCGGCGTTTCGCCCCGGGTCGTTTTCGTGTTAGCCTCGGAGCCCGAGGGCAGCACCCGGATCGAGTATCGTTGAACCGATCCCCATCCCCAGCGGCGTGGCCTGGGCCCCACTGGCCGATTCCCCCCCCCTAGATGGGGACATAGGCCGTTCCCTTCGGCTTTCGAGGGGCGTATCCCCAATGTGGGGCGGCGATCTGGCGGGGGTCACGAAGGGGGGGGCGATGGGGAGGGGGGTCGGTTAACCGATACCGACGGGCGCCGAAAATGGCGAGGCGCACTTCCGCCCTGGCCCCTGCAGAAGTCGGGGAATTGAGACTTTCGCTTAAGTCGAGCCTGTCCCCCTACAGGGGGATTTTGGGCGAAAAATGAAAATGTACAAAAATGCCCCAAAATGATCAAAACATACTCCAAAAATAATCCCTCGACTATCTTTGGAAGATGTTTTGATTACTTTTCGGGTATTTGTTTTGTCGAACGCTGGGCGTTTCTGCGGGATGTTGCGCACTGTTTGGCGCGTGTGTGCACCTTGGTCAGCATGGACACAAATGTCCATGACGACGCACTGCACCACCATGCATCGATCAAATCCATCGTCAATCCGCGGGTGATACGCTGGATTGATCTTCGTGCGGTGGGAAGTGCGCATCCTGTCCCAGAACTCCTCACATTCCGGTGGTACCTCCAACGCAGGGGGCAGGTTGCCCCGCTGAACTCCGAGCAGGTTGCCCCGCAGAAATCTGAGCAGGCTGCCCCGCAGAACGTGGGGCAGCCATTGGCGCGGCAGGCGCTGCTGCGCTCGCTGCCGATGCGGTAGCGCCCACAGATCCTCTGGGCGTCCTTGGAGTTCCTTGCGGGGTACTGATATCGAAGTCCTGGTGCTTCTTCTCCTTGATGTTGTAGGACTCGGCAGTCTTATCTGTGGGCACTGCTCCTGGCATCTTTGGCGTGGTAGCAAGGAGCTTCTCAGTGCGTTGCGTGGAGGAAGCGCCCCTTGTCCCCCCTTCCAGCGCAGGCGCCCATCCTGCCCCGTGCGTCCGACGTGGTGCAGGGCCGCGACGTGGCACAAGTTCTTTTGGAGTAGGCGCACTGGTGCCCTGAATTATAGCTGCTGCGGCGGCCGCTGCTGGCCCTCTGGAATGCTGTCGATCAGCAGGTTGCCCCGCATGTCGCTGCTGCTTGCTGCCCCCAGGGTTGGGATCATCTGGGCCCCCCTTCTTCTTCCCCTTGAGCTGAAGATGACCAGGGCCAAGAGATTGGCATGATGAATCAGAAGACGAGGGAAGATCGATCATCCCTGGCTTCGGCGTGGGAGTTGCCTTTGCCGTAGCTCCTGCCGGCGTCCCAAGTGCAAATCGCATAGGACCTCGGTCAGCCACCTGGCTTCCTGAGGGCCATATTCATAATAGGTGCATTGTTTTCTGCGCAACTAAGTACTTATCGGCGTTCCGTCGTCCGACGATGCGTGTCTTTATCCAACCAATAAACTGAGCACGGTTAACAATCTGCCTCCCAGGAGATAGATCCATATCTCTTGTGACAGCGCCCTCGGGGGTCGATCGGAGCATCCGCATCGCGCGCATCGTTCACAGGATCAACTTCAGCCATTTCATCATATTCATTTTCACCTGCTTTTGTTGGCCTTCACCATCTGATTTAGAATCAGCAGGTCCCCCCGCGTGCCGCTCGCGATTGAACTGCGCCAAAGGGTGAGTAGGTATCAAGTTCTGCCAAATGGCATCTGTCTGAGCTATCTCTCCACGAGTGGCGGGATCCGAATCGTTTTCCGTCAGCCGCTCAAGATATGGCGCAATGCTGAGGTCAGCACAGAGAGACCGACCATCCCCATGAGACCAAACCCACGGTGTCCTTTTGAAATTCGGGCTTCTTGATGGGCGTCTCATGGGGCAGCCGAGCCAGTGATCAGCATAACTGGGGCATGTGCAGCAAACGCCTCTGTAGAGCTTTCGATGCTCGATGGTGGCCCTTTTGAGATCGCGCTTGACCATCTTTTCCTGCGATTCGGTTTGCCCCGCCTCTGAACGAATGATAATACCTGCATCATCTCGTTTGCACCGACGAAGAGAATGCCAGTGCCGGATGCGACGCTCGGCCCAACCCCTTTCCAACCAGTATTCCATTTGGTTTGCGGGCATGTGCTGACGAGCCAGTCCAGCTTCAGTGTGGCCTCTCAAACGCTGCACTTCACCTCCTGGATATTCTCCTCCTCGATGTCGGTCATCATAAGGCGGGTTTCCCCGCAGACGGTCCTTCCATGGGGGTGCATGCGCTCTTGTCGCCCGCCGTGGAGGAGGATGAGGGCGCTGACCACCGCTCGAACGAGCACCGCTAGAGCGGGCTCGCGC